CCAGCCAGCACATCGATGGAGGCATCGACGAGCAGTACAACGCAGGAAACCGTGCTATCCAGTACCACGAGCACTTCTACGGAGGAAGCGGCACCAAGCAGCACATCGGAAGAGGCCACGACGAGCAGCACGAGCTCCGAGACTGCAACTACGACAAGTTCGGATGTTAGTAGCACCACTGATGCTGTAACGAGCAGCGAGCCTGTGTGATCTGTTTCCGTCGAAGCCTAGAAACAACTTTCACACCGACTCATTCTGGCTTCATCATAAGAATAGAAGATATTGACCCTGCCACGAGTCCCAAAGGCATGGGCGATACCCCTAACAATAGCCCTGAATAGATGGTCAGCCCTGCATTTCATACTCAGAGTACCAGCAATGACACCTCTGTCAACGCGGCCCTCAACATCCTGGCTCTACGTACCATGGATATTGTCATTGGTCCCACTGAGTTTTGTGACTGGGGAGTACACCAGACGTCGAGATCATGTCGACGGGTGTTGCGTGTTGCGTAGGCGGATTTTATGCAGAGCGAAATTTTCTCAGCGGCCTCGGATGGGCATGTGTACCCCTTGATGGTCCAATTCTGCGTGGCGATGGGCTGTGGTCTGAGTGTGTCTGCCTGGAGATGGCAAGGCGATAGCAATTTGGGAACGGCGGGCATTGCAATGAGAATGTGGGAACATCCCACACATGGGTAGCATAGAGAAACATAGGACAGATACCATTGAATAAAACTTATGAATCGTTGAAACACGTCGTTGATTACCCATGTGATCTTTCGGTCTTACGTTCTCATGTCAACAACACAGAGGCACTCTGTAAAGTATAGAGCGTTGCACTTTCTCTTTACTAATATTCATCTCTTTCGTACCTTCCAGAAGTTCGTGGCTGGATGACCGGTCTTCCAAATAAGCAAACTCTTTCGCCATTTTTATGCTTGTGCTTCGTTAGGCTCTGCAAGCCTAGAGAACAGGGCTTAGGTGCCTAGGGCTCTAATTAGGCGCATCTTTAGGGGCACAAGCGCTGATGTCCGGGGACACCTTTGGCCATTTAAGCGGCGACTTTGCAACCGGGCGGAGCCTGCTTGTATGTGCACGTGACAGTACAGCTGATTAGCCAGCTCCACGACGATCTCATAGCTGCCAGCTCTGCCAGATCTTCGCGTTAACAGCGCTCTCTTTTTTTTGCTTAATTGTTGTTCTATTCATGGTCGCTATCGGCTCTATGTGCATGTACTATTACTAACAGCATCGGAGGACGTATCAGTTGCACCCCCAGCCTTATGTGGACTCGAACAACCTTATTTCGATCGGTCCTCCCCTAGCTAACAGTGCTCTCTTGAACAAAACAGCATGTCATCTGTTACATGCTAAAGATCATGGGACACCACGCTACTCCAGGTCCGCGAGGGACCCTGCTGAGCTCATTCACATGCAGATGAATGTAGGTCATGCCTTCCTCGTAAGTAAGTAATATCAACGGATCCTGCCATAGGCGCAACACTACCGCATAGCGCTTTCTTCCAGATGTCGCGCGATGCACTTTCGTGTCCATATCATGGGTTCTTCACTCATCAGTAGACGGCACCTTGCCATAGTTCCTGGGAGAACCAGGTCAAGCATACAATTCCTCCTGGTCTAAAACGACATGCAGGAATGCTTATGTCTGAACGCCAAGTCCATGGAAGGGGGATGCGTCTGTGCCCTGGACGAGACACGAACGATCCAGACAGCGCGCCCGGAATGTACGGCAAACATACATTCATCAGATTTTCCCAACATGAGCTGCCTTGTGCACCTCTTGCGCGTGTGCGACGAATCTTCGAGGCACGATGCGTCGAGCGGTAGCGGTATGCACTTTGTTGGCGCTATCTATCCTCGGTGTCGCAGGGCAAACCACAATCTGCCAATATGAGCACATTGTGACATTCACAGAGTATAGCACGGTTTACGTTACAGCGAACGCGACAGTCTATACGACAGAATTCCATTCTTCAGAGTCATCGACATCTAGCACCGGCTTAAGCTCATCCGATGATGGAATCAAGGATCCAGTGTTGACTGGGAAAAGCTCGACCACACCCGAGCCGCCCATACCTTCAAGTACAACGACCCTTGCATTTCCCACAACGAGCCGCGCACCCCAAACCGAAAGCGCAACGGGAAGGCCGTCTTCTTCCACAACTTCCGAGTCCCAAGATTTTCCCACCACAACAAGAGCAGATGCAGATCCGGAAGCCACCAACGAATCATTCTACATCGTGTTCGATGCATTGTCTAGTGCTACCAGTCGCCTCAGCCGGCGAGATGTGATCATCGATTACCTTGCGTACCTTACATTCAGACTAACAAACGATTATGTCACACCCAAGATGGCCGGAATACTGGTGATCGATCCAAGGGAAGCAAGTATCTTCTATCTGGACGATGACAATGCATTAAAGACCGATGACCTATATGTTGACATCTCAAGCCCGGAACGTTTGCAAGGCTCAGACTCTCTATCGAGCCCGACTCCTCTAACAAGCTCGACCCTTTCAACAAGCTCGACTCCTTTACCAAGCTCGGACTCTTTCCCAGTATTCACGCTGCGAGAAGACAAGCCTGAATACCAGCTGGTCTTCACTCTGAACGATGATCGTATCAGCATTGAAGAGGTGGAAGGATACTGTGTTACGTCTGATGACACGCTGGTCCTAGTTCAGGACGCTGAGAAGCCACCTTCACCCTGCGAAAGGTCTGTTCAGCCTAGGCTTGTGGCACGTCAGGCAGCTGCGAGCTCGACCACAAGTGAAGCATTACCCACAACGAGCACTGTCATTCCCCAATCCGGTGAGACCTCAGTCCCAAGAACAAGTTTACAGACTTCGACAGAGCGTCCGACAAGTTCGACGTACACTCCCAGCACTAGCAGCGGACAAACCAGCATCACACAGACCTCGATTACACTGTCGACTACATCTCTCGCTTCCACGTTGATACCGGTATCAACATCGGCAGAAGAAATATCATCGACCGTGTCAAGTACCTTTTAGGAACGTCCAGTACCCTAAGCACAACGTCACAATCGATGACTATGTCGGACAGCTCCACGACGACTGAATCGGAAAGTGGATTGGTAACAAGCACGACCGAGGATCAGATTGCGACCAGCACATCAGAAAGCGCTACGGACTCGACGGAAGGTGTAACGACCAGCAAGTCGATGGGAATTCAGCCAACGACAACTTCGACAAGTACATCTATGGAGCAACTGTCTGCGTCAAGTACGAGTACACTTACTGAGACGACGTCCAGCACGACTTCCGAAACGACGACCAGCACAACTTCCGAAATTACGACTAGCGTGACCTCCGAAATCACAACCAGCAACGAAGCTAGCACCACCGCCCCTACAACTACCACCCCAGTGCGCTGCAACCCTTCAGCAACATTTTCCTTGACCTCCTTCGGCTCCCCACAATATCCCAACGACGTTCCCCTTCTTCTCGCAGGTGGCGGAGAACAATTCGGGGCGTTTGGCACCGGTCGTCCCGCCGAGCTGTTCACTTTCGATTCCTCCTGCCACCTCATAGTTCAAAGCGTCAACAAGTACGCCGCTGTTCATGGTCCTAGTGATGTTTTCTCCTTCTTATCGCTTGAGGAGATCGGGAATTATAACAGGATCTGTACGTGTGGGTCTGATGAAGATACAGACGACCCATCACAGCTAAATTTAGGTTGTGCTTGCGGCTCTTTTGGCGAGAGAGTATTCTCGACGCATTATGATGGAGCCGTGTACGCGACTAACTTTGTCGGGCGGTCCCCTTTCACCGGTGCAACTGGCGTGAAATTGAGGGTACGCGTCGTCGAGCCTGCGGTTGAAGGTGGGGGTGGAGGACAAAGCACGACTACCAGTAGCGACACCAGCACCACAACCTCCACAACTACCACATCTACGACCACTACTCAACCCGCTGCAACCCTACAGCAACATTCAAACTGGTCTCCTTCGACTCCTCAGTATACCCAGACGACGTTCCTGTCGCCCTGAACCTTTACACTAATGAAGCACAGGCCGTCTTCGATGGAAGTCGTTCCGCCGAGGTATTTTCGTTCGATACCTCCTGCCACCTAGTTGCTCAGTCTCAGTCTGTCAACAAGTTGTTCGGTGTCTATGGCTCTCCCTCAAACGCCAATTTCGTCCCACCTGGCCGTTCGGACACCACATACTGCACTTGTGGTTTCAATCAAGACACTGAAGATGTATCGTCGCTCATCTTGGGTTGTGCGTGCGAGTCTCTAGGAGAGAGGGCTTTTGCAAGGTACTCTGGTAGTAAATTTATACTCGCCGTCGACCCTTCGGAGGCTCAGTCTTATGAGCCGGCAAAACTAAAGGTGCGTCTTATTGAGTCCGAAATAGAAGGGTAAAGAGCAGACCGAGGGCGGGGGGCCATGATTTGGCATTTCTTCGCGAGCCTTGAACAGATTCAGGCGTTCACTTGGCTGGCAGGAGGACGCAATCGGTTGTCATGAGCACCATCACGCGAAGTGTCGAAGTACGGACGGAGCAGTCAAGACCTGAGATATGCCTCCACGTAAGTTCAAGCCGTGGAATGGGTCCCCCTCTTCAGTGTGCTAAACCCGGACAACGTGGACCACAATGCTAGATATTGCCGTAGGTCTGCGAAGCGTTCAAGGCGTCCCACCTGCGGTTCAGAACGGAGCGCGAAAAGAGAGGTGCAGCAGCTCCGGACACAACCCGATGCTCTGACAATATGCCGTCCATGACCATCTTCTAAGAGGCACAAATAATGTCGCCGTCCCGAAACGACCAGATGAATCCTTGTATCTCAGAATGGTAGACCAGACCGTTTGTGGGCTATGTATGGGCTTCACCCGCTAAACCTTTCCTCACTTTATTGGTCCCAAGTTGCCTTCAGACCAGGTCCGACTTCCATATGAATGGTATGCTCAGAAAGTGCCTTCACCTCGATCCTGCTCAACCCTCCACTCTTTGAACCAGTAGCTCAGCGGTAGAGCGCTTGCCGTCAATGGCGAGGTCGTCGGTTCAACTCCGATCTGGTACGTGATTCTGTTATTTTTTGCTGCTTCGGGTCATGACATATCTTTGGTCATCATCGAGAACGTTTTGTGGTTCGAAGCGTGAGACCCCTCACGTAGGTCGACCCCGAGTCCTCATCGTAACGCCAAGCGCAATCCTCTTATTATTCTCAACTCGCACCTTCTCCGCCTCGGTCACCTCCTCCTCCTGCTCGTCCTCGTTTTCTTCTCGTGCTTGATCGTTGCCCATCGTCATATCGGTGTCCTCCTCGCCGCCTTGTTTGTGTGCAGAAGCTCCGCTAGCTCTACCTTTCTCTTGGCCCCTCTGCTCCCGCGCATCACCTCCAACAACATCCCCCCTCCGACCCGCATGCGTCCTCCCACTCAACTCCCGCCTCCCAGCAACAATCTCCCCAACCCTCAACTCACTATCCGACCCAAAATCCCGCTCAACAGCATCAACATCAACCAACTCCCTCTCCCAACTCAACCAGCCATCCCTCGCAAGACTGGCATAGTGGTCACCGTACGTCTTATTCCACTGATACACCCGCGCTTGCTGAGGTGTCATTTTCGATAGCATATACGGGGTCAGGGGATCCAGTCTCTGTGGTGTTGGTAATTGCTCGGCTGGAGCGATGAGATGGGGTGGGATAGGTTTTGAGATGCGTGGTGGTGGGTAGGGTGGGTCGTTTCTGTAGATTGAGTTGGGTTTGAAGGGGGAGGGGGACGCGATGGGGGATTGGGAGTGGGGAGTGGAGAAGTCGTTGTTGTAGTACTCTTCTAGAGTTCGCTGTGGCGGTACACGTGTTGCAGTATATTCGATTGCTTCGTCGATTGTTAGGGGTTGAGCTGGGTATGTGTTATCTGGTGGAAGGCGAGTGGGGTTTGGGTTTGGGTTTGCCATGGTTTATGATTTATGATAGAGGCGCTCTGATTCTAGAAGTGGTGGTTCTGGTAGTAGGCAGGTAGTATGTAGACGTTTTGCTGGTTGTGTGTTGCGTGGAGGAAGCGGGCGTAGAGAGATCATGCCGATTGAAGTTTTGTCGGTCTGAGATGTCGCTGTGATTGCTTGTAACAAGTCGATTGCGAATGTGTTGACTGAGAAGTGCAAGCACATGGAGCTAGCCAATGGGGCTGTCTGCTGCGTCGAGTGCGTCTCAGTGACAACAAGGGTTGGAGTGGCTGGAATCATCGTTGCGCTCTTATGCTGGAGAACCAGCGGGCAGTAGCCTTGTTTCACTGGCTCCGTAGGTCGACACCGGCCTGCACTGCTGTGGGAATTCGAAAGTGCTGGAAGAAGTGCAAGAATGCTTCGTATGTCACTTCCGCACAAGAGTGACGGCTCATAGCGGCGCTCTACCTGGAAGTGAAGGATTGTGACTACAAGAGCTGTAATTCAGCTCTCTTAGCCCTCGTATCAAGTTGTATCGACTGTCGCTGCAGGTCTTTGAAGGAGAGATGCTGGCCATGGCAATGTATAGGAATGCTGGTTAGCACCTTCATAGAAGCACAAGCTCGCATCCACCGAGATTTCTTGCGAGACGTACTTGTCTTCTTCTGCCTGATTCTTGTATCGTGGAACACCCCCTGAGCCTACTTGCCTCGAAGTGTACACATATCCAGGCTGGGGCAGACACACGGCTACCAAACACAAAGATGCCAGCATCGATGTGACCTCTGGTATAAGTGCCACCTCGATGCAGTGAGTGGCCAGCACTAACTCAGCCTTGCTCACGCAGACGTCTCACAACGTTGCGGCTCGGAAGTGACGCCGCTTGTCGACTCGCTTGTGCGTCGTATTCCTTCCTGGGATCGAATTCGTCGTGACCGAAACTATACAAGCCAATGGCGAGCTTCGGACACGCGCCATGTAGCATGCCTGGCCATCGTCCCAAGAGATCTCGCTACTCAGACATCAAATCGGAGGGATGGCGATGCTTAAGTTGTTCCTCGTTTCGTCCAATGAAGCTGTATTGGTCGCTCGTGAACGGAAATTGCTATTGACGACCATGGTGAGCACATTGGAAGGATCGGGATAGTGCCTGTCTCACAGGTCACACAACACAACACCAAGGTTCAGATGACTTACCACTAACTTCAAGGCCAAGCGAACGACCAAGTTTCACATCCGAGGTATTTCACCCAGCCCGAGCGGGTAACAACCGGCAAATACTCTTATCATGTATTTTTCGTCGTCGTCTTGCTGTCGGCGAAGGCAAAGATGGACTTTGTTGTGTCTCAGTAAAATCCCAAAGAAGTGATGGTGAGCTCCCAAGTTGATCGAAACGCTTATTCAGCGGTCTTTCGTGAGCCAGCGTCGAAGGACGTGGTGACGAACCAGAAGCTTCATGTCCTCCTTTGCAACATTATCCTCCTGAAAGCACCAAGCACCGATACACCAGGCGTCTGGGATCAGTTACAGCAAAAGAATGAGCATCCTTAGACACTTGGCCTAGTCCAGACCATCTTGGAAAACCAGGTTGCCATGGCCGTCGCTGTTCTTCCTCTTCCGCACTAGGGCAACAAGACGCCTCCCAGCAGATCTGCGAGCAATCTCAACTCGCTATATATAGGGGTTGGCACTAACAAGACACTGGAGGTTCATCGTTGTATCGATACACCATGTCCAGAGACTGCATGATTTGTGGTTATTTCCCGTACGGTGAGGTAAGCATTTCTTGACCACTCCCAGAAGTGCTCGACACCACGTCTTTCAATAACGAGCGATCACTGCGGCTCGGATTTTGCAAAGCTGCTCAGCGAAGCCCGCAGTCCGAATCTGCCACGAATGCTTGAGATCTTCCTCGTACCAGATGTCCTCCAAACGGAAGAAAGCGCGACAGATTGACCATTACTAGCAGCGATGTGGTCACGCTCCAGGCACTTGCCGTCATCTCTAGAATCGATGCTGGCTGCAATTGACCTTGTGAAGCAGACGTTCTTTTGCTCCGCAGAGCAAGGGCTTTGAGTGGCATCGTCCATCTCCATGACCTTTCTTTTATCTCGACATACCTGCTTCGAGCACCTAGTATCTATTCGATGGAAGTTGACTCATTGTGTTCTACCAGGTCCTGGAGCTCGGCTACAAAGTCATCGTTCATAGCAGGTTGGTCGTCGCTGCTTGTGCTATAGGACGCGCAGCCATCGTGCTGACCATAGCAACCGCTGGCGAGACCATATGGGAGAGGCACAGAAGGATCGGGAGAGTGCTTCCATCGTTCGGAAGGGACCTTTGTGTGATTTGCGGCACCAGAAGACTTGCTTAGGTGATGCAAGGACGATGACTGATCGAAGAGTCGCTGTCTTCATTCTTGTGGGCGATCAGCCGCTAATGATCAATTAGGCAAGTACAAGCGCCAGGCACATTCCGCTGCAACACTGCTGGCAACTCCTTGTCAAAAGAGAGACCAGACCAACGATCACCATCCTCGCTAGGCTGCGTCTGTGGTCGAGGGACTGCGCAGTCACGTCACTTCACACAGTCCAGCGGCTTCTACATGATCAATGAGACACTTCACGAACCGCAAATGCTATCTAGCTGCAACGTACAGCTGCCGCCCGAGCTCATCATCACAATATTACGCCATGCCTTCATTGGCGATACGACAACGTACCTGACTTCCCGCGGTATTGGCGAGGTGGGATGCCCACCACTGAGCTCAACGCGAGAACGGCTCAAGCAGATTAGGCTTGAGGGCAGGGTCTTTCACGATGCTGTAACGCCTCTTGTCTTCGCCACAATCCATATACATGCTAGTCAGCTGAGTATCACACGAGCCGAAAACATTGCGTGCTCTCGACTAAACACTCACGTTCGAGAGATTGTCCACCATTGCGGTACTTTCCAACATTCAATGACGCAGCGTCAGACGTTCCTCAGGATACTCGGTAGCCATCAACGAAGGCAGGACTATCCCAAACAGCTGAAGGACGCTGACAAAGAAGAATTCTATCAAAACTTCCTACAAGAGGTCGAAGCAGCGGGCGAATTCGAAAACGCGGGAGGCTTCTCGGACTACGACTATCAGCGACTTGTTGACAAGCTTCCAAATTAAGAGACATTTGTGACTCTACCGTACTATGACGACTGGCACGATCCGGAACCATCTGCTTACACCTTGAAACGTACCGGACTATCCTACGTGCCCATGTCAGACTCTCACTGCATGATGGACATTCCCACATTCACCATCGCGATGGCGAGATTGCAACCGCGAAGTCTGAATTTGTCACTGTTTCCGTGCGACGCTCTTGACGCCTTGTCGGGTTTATTGTATAGGGAATACGTGAAGTACCCGGGACCTATTGATGAAAAGGGACCCGGGCGGGCACTAAAGCGATACAACAATTTAACAGAGCTCAAAATCGGACCCGTATTTGGTGGCCGGTACGGTTATGGAATGAATGGTGAGGAGTGGCTTGATCCCATAACAATCTTTCGGGCCCTCACTAATCTGGTCACGCTGGAACTCACTAACGACTACGCCATGAATAAGGACTTCTCCGTCCTACCGAAAGCCACTCTACCAAAGCTGAATACTCTGACCATCTCCAAAGGCGTCACGCAGGGATATTGGCCGGGAGCTGGACTACTAGAGTGCATCAAGAATGTTGGGCCCACGCTGAAGCATCTCCGCTTCCAAGGTATCGTCCTCAAACAGCCGGCGCCTGCCTCGGACGACGAACCCGATGATGGACCTCGACCATACGATCTCGCTGACCACCCTCGATGCTCGCTTATCAGATTACTGCATGATATCACTCCGCACACAAATTTGAGCTCATGTACAGGTCTTGACAGTGTTATGGATATTAGGTTTGAAGGCCCCATTCTACGCACATACGTCAGACCTGGTCCCAAGCCTGGAAAAACTGTTCTGGTGAAGAAGCTCGAGCAAGCCGTCTGTCACCAACGGCAATGGCCTACAAGTCTGTCGTCATCGTTGAGCTCGTATGCTAACCCTGTTTTACCTGAGTTTGAAGACTGCCCTGGACTTGATAGAGGTTTATCATTCATGCAAGC